GAGGAGCGGGAGGAGGAGGGCCAGGTCAAGGGCGGCAGGGCGCGGGGCCCCGGCGATCCGCGGCGCCCCTCCGCAGGAGCCTGGCGCCCCGGGCGCCCGCGGCGCCCCCGCCGCCGGCGGCGGCGCAGCGGAAACCGGCGACCCGGGCGCCGCCCTGGCTGCTGGCGGGGTCGTGGCGGAGGTGCTCGGCGGGGACATAAATCTTCGACGCCAGAGGAGGAGGAGGACGAGGAGGAGGAGGAGGAGGAGGAGGAGGAGGAGGAGGAAGAGAAGGAGGAGGAGGAGGAGGAGGTACAGATTCGAGGAAGAAACAGCGCCGTAAACAGAAAACTTTGGCGCTCCGCGCGGTTTTCTTGGATCGGCGCCTGGCCCCCCCCCCGGCGGTTCCTCTGGCGCCGCCCCTGGCGCGCTCCGCGCGCCAGGGAGGGGGGTCCGGCGCAGTTTCAAAAAATCCGCGCGGAGCGCCAACAGTTTATGTATATAGCGTTACTTTCTTCCTCTATATCTCCGACGAAGGAAGATGAGAAGGCATCTTAGCCAGGTTGATTGGCCGCGCCCCGCTCGTAAGGTGTGATTCTAAGAGTTGATTAGAGTTGATTCTACCCATGACTACGGCGACTCTTCCCTGCTTGTTTCTTGCCTTTTTGGGCCTCCTGGGGAGGCCCTCGTCGCCACCGCTGGGTTCGCCTCGAGATGCTGGTCGGAGCGCACCCCTGTCGAGGTCCGGGATATGCCGATGTCGGCACCTTTCTGGTTCACCCACGACGGGGTGATTCGTGCAGGGCCGGCGTCCTCCCGTCGTTTCTGGCCCGCGGGGCCCACTCGTCGGGGCCCGGGGGCCAGCAGGAACGGGCCCGGGGCGACCCCCCCCCCCGTGAGGGTGTGGGGGCCTGGACCACGCAGCGAAGACAGCACACCGTCGGATGCCGGGGCATCTGTAGAGGAGTGCCGCCTGGGGGGGCCTTGGCAGGCGGCTGGGCGGAGATCGAGGGGTGGGAGGTTCAAGTGAAACAGGGGCCCCCAGCTGTCACCACGCACCAGACCACCCCAACCCAACGCGAATGCCTCGATTTGCCCTCCATTTCCAGTGGGGGGGGTCGGGGAACGTCGAAAAAACACATAGGGAACCCGTACCCCCCCCAACCCGAAGTTCGAGTCTTCGGGTTGGGTTGGGGTTGTCTGGTAGGTAGTCAAACTGGGAAGCCGGCTTCAGCGTCGGCTCGTGGCGTGCGCGACGTGCGTGCGGGCGAGAGGCGGAGCTGCGAGAGCTTCTGCTCCAGCTCGGCCCAGGTCGGACCGGTGTGGGGGGCGTGCGCGGGGCTGTGCCGTGGTTGTCCCGTGGTCGGGTCAGCTTGATGGTTGTCCCATGGTTGTCCCGCGGAAGTCGCGTGGTCATCCTGTGGCTTGTCTCGTGGTTGTGCCGTGGATAATCCGTGATTGTCCCGCGATCGTCTCGCGGTTGTATTGCTTTGCATTGATTTTCATTGCTCTGCGTTACTTTGCAATGCATCGACCTCAGGTGGTCTTTAGTTATTCCCCCCTGTTTATTTCGGCGGGGAATGGCCTCGCCCCTCTTTCCTCCTGCCGATTCCTGCTTCCTGATGGCGTGAGGACTGCCGTCCTCCTTCTGTTCCTCCTCATCCTCCTCATCATCTTCCTCCTCCTCGCCCCTTCCTCCTTCTCCTCCTCCTCCTCCTGCTCTCCTCCTCGTCCTAAGGCATCTGGGTCAGGAGTGCGCAGGTGCAGAGGGCGACAGGCGTCCGCTCCCGCACTTCCTTCATGCCTCCGCTCGGAGACATCCCCTACACATCTACACTTTCTCGCGATGGTTTCTAGATGTCTCAGTGTGGGCTGCTGGCTCCTGCTCGTCCTCATGGTTGGGCGACGCTTGCGCGCGCTCCAGTACAACCCCTTGCACGCGTCGAGTGGCGAGAGGCTCACGTCCATCGCTCAGGCCTGCAGGGCCTACGACTTCGTGTGCTTGAACGGAACTACAGCCAAGGGGTACGGCAGGGAACACCAGTGTGAGGCGCGTTGGCGACGGGCAGGCGACCACAACTGGTGCATCGAGAGTGGGTGGGCTCGGGGGCCGTTGACGAACAAGGGTACGGGCTGCAGCATCATTTTGGGGGCCAAGATTCGGCGCGGCTCCATCACCCACACGTGGACGCCTCCTGCTTCGCTCGCTGGGCGCGGTGTGGCGCTGGGGGCGCTCTGCGCGAAGTACGACATAGGGGTCTGCTCGGCCTACTTCCCGCCGCCGCCTGTGAAGGGCAGCGCCGATGTCTATCGCCACACCTGCGATGCCCTGACCAACTGGCTGCGCACTCTGCCGTACTTGAGCACCAAACGGGTGCTCCCGATCTTCTGCATCGACTTGAACTCGGGGTTCGGCTTGCAGCAGCTCGACGGGGACAGCACTTGGCGGGCAGTCGAGTCCCATGTCTTCGGCTCCACGGCCAAGGACAAGCAGCGCTACGCGGCCGACTGCACCCTGCCGCTGATGGAGGAGCTCGGCATGGTGGCGGTCAACACCTACGTCGGCAGCGGCCCCGCGTTCTTTGGGACCAAGACCGCCACGCAGATCGATTTCGTGTTCATGCCGAAGATTCTGCTGGGCGACGTCACCTCGGCGGGCCCCCTTCGACGGCTCGGGCGCGATCTACAGGTTATCTCTACGGTGCAGGCGCGCGATCACGTGCCAGTACATTTGTGCATGGAGTATTCAATTGAACAGACGACGGACGCTCACATCCTCTTCGACATGGTCGAGAACGTACGGCTTGGCTCTGTGCCACGCCTCGTTCGTTGGAATCGCGAAGTTCTTATGCAGTCACTTCGTAGTGGACGGGGGCGTGCTGAATTTCTCTTGGAGCTGAAAGCATATATGCGATCTGCTGAGGATACGTGGAAGCAGATACAACGAGAGGAGCAGACACCAAATAACGACAGGGGTTTCTTTATGGAGGCATTGCTCACTATCGGCAGCGAGCACTTCGCGAAGTCTCCCGAGTACCGACCTGGATATCGCACACTTGCGGCGGCTATTCAACCCGTCCTCGATCGACAACGGGAACTTCGGCGCCAACTTGACGCATCCTGGCCTAGTGGCCTTGTGGAGGCAAGTGGGTGCACTGATGCCATATGTCCAAACGATGAGATCGACGAGTCCCTCAAGCCGGCCCTCTTAAAGGTGCAATGGCAATTTCGCTGTCATACGAAGTGGCTGAGATCTGCGCGACGGCAGTACTGGAGACGCTGGCGTGAGGACACGGTTCACGAGCTGAAAGAGGCGCGCAGGCAAGGACGTGCTGAAGTTGCTCGACTCTCTAGGCTTCTTGCAGGCACAGGTGTTGGTCATCGTAAGCGCGGCTACCGCAGGGCACCATTTGCGCTACCGACGGGAGGGGAGCTTGCTGAGCGTTGGGCTTTACCAGCAGGACGCGGTGGCATGGCTATGCGGTCTTGGACGGGTGCCCCACTGGACTTCTTCGACGAGGGGGATCTGCGGGACTGGTTCATTGAGCTCGACCTCTCGATCGTCAGGGCTGCGTGGCTCTCCGTCAGCGCCCCTCCTCCACGCCGCCCTCGTCGGGCCCCTTTACCCCCGGAGGCACCTGCAGGCCGCGCTGGGGGCATCCAATGCACCGTCGACGGCTGCGACAAACGGTTCCTCACTAAGAGGCAGTGGCTGGTTCGCGTTCGCGCGGCTCATGGCTTCAAGACCTTGCTCGCTGAGGCTACCCAGGGTGCTGCGTGTTTCGTGTGTGGCAGTAGGTTTCAGAGTCGCAATTCGGCGTGCAACCACGTCCTGGACTTGTTCGCTTCGGGCTTCTGCAAACACCAGCTCAGCGCAACGCTCGAGCTCGCCGTTCCGGAGGGCCCCTTCCGCTGCCGGCTGTGTAAGGCTCAAGTTTCGATTGCAGATGATCTTCGCATCCGAGCCAGAGTCCACTTTGAGGGCTTGCCGCTAGTGCGGATCCATGGAGTTCGAGGAGCCCAGCTGGGCAGCGAAGCGCAAAGAGGAGAGCGACGCAGTGGCATCCAGGGGCGCCAAGGAGGCCCGCCTGCTGGAGGCGCTCGGGGAGGAAGCTCAATCCACGCAGAAGGGCGGCAAGGGCGGGGCGCTGGCGGCCTGGCTGCTGGTCCTCGCGAAGCTCGCTCTCGCCGACGCGCGCGAGCTGGCCGAAGTGACTGGCGCCTGCGTCACGTGCGACATGGTCGGCGCGGGCGCGGCCTTCTAGAAGGTGCTGCAGGGGGCGGGGCGCGCGTGCGCGGAGAGCTGCAAGGCGGGCGGCAAGGGCCGCAAGTAGGGGCCACCGTGGCCCCACGTTTTCAAGGCCTTCATTAAGTGGGCTTGCGCGGACGGCAAGGAGACGACGCCCGAGGGGGCGCGGGCAGTATTCAGGAGCTTCTGGCAGACGGTCATCATGAAGGAGAACGCGCTCGAGCGAATGGCCACCCAATGCCGCCACTTCCGCATCAAGGCGCGCTGGTACGACAAGAGAAGACGCAGGCTCCAGGTCGCTTCAAGCTGCAGATCATGCCGGGGGTCCCGCAGCAGGCCAACAAGTGGGAAGGCTGCCAGCACACGCTGATGGAGGCGCTGCAGATGACGTTGCTGGCGGCGGGCGGCAAGGACAAGGAGGCGGCGGTGACCTACCTGCCAGGTTCTCCGCCCAGGGGCGGGCTGGAGCGCGAGGCGGCCAAGCTCGTGCAGAGGCTGGGCCTGAAGGACAAGCCCGGAGACGAGGACGCGTAAGACCCTCCTCTGTCAGGGCACGCCTGACGGCAGTGAACGGCTCGCGCTGAGCCGCCAAACTGCACCTCCAGGGCCGCCTGTCTGATGCTCCCCTCCTCGCCCTTCAGGCTCGGACCCCTACTCCAATTCTTGAGTATTCAGACGGCGACCTGGAGGTTAGAGTTGTTGCCGGGTCTCCCCCAATTCAGGCTTTCTTGGACGCCGCGAGCCTTCGGGCGCTGTCTGATGCCCCTCGCCAGCTGCGCCTTGCTGAGAGCGCCCTGGGGGATGGCCGACTCGCGGGGTCCAGGCTGACCTCGGACGTCTTGGCGGCCCCGCGCCGCGAGTCCTGATTGGGGTTGTGCTGGGGTAGGCTCATTCGTCGCCTGCCTCTGGCTCTGCTGAGTGCGGGAGTGCATAGGCGAGCCCTCGTGGTGTCCCCTTTCGAGGGTCTCGCCTTTGCCAGAGGCATCTCCCTGCAGGGCCCCAAAGATTGTCGGGCCCCTTAAGTGGTTCTCGAACACCTGATCCGTTGTTTTTTGTTTTCCTCGGGCCCTGCAGGGTGCCGCTGTTTCGGGGCCCTCGGATTCATCGGATCACTGGTGCCGCTCTGCTCTCCTCCTCGTCCTCCTCCTGCGATGTATAGGAAGTAGGAAGGAGGAGGAAGAGGAGGAGGAGGAGGAGGAGGAGGAGGAGGAGGAGGAGGAGGAGGAGGAGGAGGATGAGGAGGTGAACAGCGTTCAGAGTCGAGGGTTGTCTCAGGCTGCTCTTCCTGTTTGGTCGCTGGCAGTGTTGCTGCCGGCGCCTGGTCGGCGCCTGGCCACCCGGGGGGCGTACTTTCCCGCTAATTGTCGGCGGCTGGACACTCTTGAGCGGTTCCTTTCCCCAGCGAAGAATCCAAATGGCGAATCTGGGTTTCCTGGGTTGTCTTTCTTCGGTCGCATGCTGGCCCGGAAGAAGGGGACCAAAAACATCACTGATGCACGGATGCCGTGGGCAGGTAAATTTGAGAGAGGAACAAAACATCCCCCAGCGAAAAGTCCATTGTCGGCCACTGCGCACGCGAGGGAACGCTGCGCATGAGAAGGTGCACGGTTTTGAGCCGCGAGTGCTCCTCGAACGGGTCTTTTTGCTGCTGCTGCCAGATCAGCTGTTGGCGCCTGGTCGGCGTTGAGGATCGTTGTTCTGACCCATGGAGTTCCTGAGGGCCCTCGTGGGGTTAGAGCCTCAACGATCTTACTGATGACGGGGCTTCTGATGTTGGAGTTTCGGAGGGCCCTCGTGGGGCCTGAGGTCCAGCAGTCCTTCTCAGGATGGCGCTCCTGAGGGTGCAGTTTTTGAGGATCGAGTTTCGGAGCTAGGATTGTACGTGCGAGCGCTCCTGGCGCATAAAGAGCAGTAGTAGTAGCCGTCGCAGTCTCAGTCGCAATCGTAGTCGTAATAGTACTCGTGGTCGATAACTGCTCGTAGTCGTATCCGCAGTCGTAGTCGTAAGCGTAGTCGCAGCCGTAGTCGAATCGTGGTCGTAGTCACAATCGTTGCCGTAGGCGTCGTCGCTGTTGTGCGGCAGGTGCGGCGGATTTGTTTCCCAGTATTGGTGGGACCCCAGTCCGTCAACAAGGTCGCCGAAACGGCATGTAGTCTGCAACTATTGGGGGGGGCGGTTCTGAAGACCCATGGCCACGTTTTTGTTGCTCCTTGCGTTATGTTTTCCGTTGCTTTGCATTGCGTGTTGTTCCCCCTGGATTGCACCACGGGGACTGCACCACGCTAACAAACACACACACACAAATGTAGATGCGCACATATCGACAGGTGGATCCATTTCGATATCGGTGCATTCATGGTGATATTGGTAGTCAGGTACATCGGAATCCATGCATTGAAGTCGTTGACGGAATGATCGTGAGATCGACAACCATAAATATCAATCCATATTCTGGTAGCAGGATCGATGGAGTGACCGTGAGACCAATAGAGAGATCGGCGATAGATCGCCAATCGGATCCAGCGCCGATCGCATGCCACAGGCTGCACCCATCCCCCCATGATCACCCGAAGGGTGGCCCTACGTAGCTGTGGATCTGCTCGGAGCCTGGAGGGAGGGCCAGAGGACGTGGAGATGCAGCGGTGCCGCTGTCCTGGCACCTGCAAACCCGCCGACCATGTCGGCGTGTGCGAGAGGCTTGTCGGTCTGAGTCGTCGTCGTCGTGATCGACGGGGCAAGCAAGCATGTCTGCGTCAACCGCCTGGCCGAGGCGCCGTTATTATGGGCGAGTCCCCGCCTCGCAGGAGGGCGCTTCCGCGGCCGCGGCGGCGGAGGGGCGCGGTGCGGCGGAGGGAGCAGGGCCTCATCCAGGCAAGGCGTCGTTCGAGCCTGGAGCTCGGCGCCAGGTCGCCGGAGGTATTCCTGGTCCAACCGAGGGCGTCGACGCGCCGGACGCCTCGGAGGCGTCCAGCGTGAGGAGGAGGATGAGGGTAAGGGTGAGGGTGGTGGTGATGGTGATGGTGGTGATTATGATGATCATGATCTTGATGCTGATGCTGATGCTGATGATGATGATGCTGCTGATGATGATGATGGTGCTGATGATAATGATGCTGATGATGATGCCGATAATGATCATGATGATGCTGATGATGGTGCTGCTGCTGCTGATGACGATGCTGATGATGCTGATGATGATGCTGCTGCTGATGATGATGATGATGATGGTGGTGCTGCTGCTGATGCTGCTGATGATGATGATGGTGCTGATGAAAATGATGATGATGATGATGATGATGATGATGATGATGATGATGATGATGATGATGATGATGATGATGATGATGATGATGATGATGATCATCATGATGATGATGATGATGTTGGTGATGATGATGGGAAGTCGGTGGTGATGGTGTTGATTATGGTGGGGATGATGGCAACAGTGGTGGTTCTGATGGTGAAGATGATTTGGATGCTATCGATGGTGGTGGCGATAATGATAGCGATAAGGAGCTGCGGCGGGACAGCGTTGCGCCTTCGGCGGGCGACGGCGACTGCTACGACAACCTGCAGTCTGCCGGCGCGGGGGACGGGCGCCGCGGGTCGCACTGCAGGCTGGCACCCGACGACGAGCCCTCCGCGTCGGCCGACGAGCAGGATCCCTGCGCTGCCTCCTGAGCCTGAGTGCCTCTGGGCGCGGTAGGCGGTAGGCCGGCCGCCCCGAGGGCCGCGGGGGCCCTTCGATCGAGGGTCGAGGGCTCGAGGTCGACGGTGCTCGAGGTGCGAGGCAGCCAAGCAGTCCCCCCCTCCCCGGGGGCAGGAAGCAGTGAAGACCAGCGGATTCTGCACCACATCGACTGCTGCCGGGCCGCACGTCGAGCAGTGGCGAAGCGTCTTGGCTTGCCTATAGGCCCACCAAAGAATGTTCGAATAACCTTTTGCGGCCTGCACGAAATGTCCTCAGAGCATTTCTGGCAGAGACTGCCTCGTTTCAACACATCGAGTTTATGTTCTACGAACATTGTTATGCTCTTAGAACATTTGTGGGTTCTAAGAACATGTCGTGGTAACCTTACAGGAATGCCGGGACGGTCGGTCCCTGCTCAAGTGCGGGCCCCCTCGGTTGTCCATGGGCCCCCGTGGCCCTTTTTGAGGCCACGCCGACTGGCCGCGGCTGCTGCTCCAGAGCACCTGCTCTGGTCCCCGCTCTGGGGGTCACGCTCTTATCCAGGCCTCCGAGATGGGGCCCGAGTAGATGGGGTCGGAGGACCGCGCTTGCGTCGCCGACGCATCGTCCATGCATCGACGATGCGGCGCGCTCCTCGCTCATCTGCTCGGACCCCATCTCGGAGGCCTCTACCCTACTTCCGGAGGAGGCCCTGCGCATCCCGGGCGTGCCCCGGAGAGAGTCAGGAGGGGAGAAAACACACAGACACATCTAATCGTCGATTCCCAGGAAAAGATGCGAACATATGGGAAGTGGGGGGGAAGACAAAATCCCACAAGATACGGGAAAACATGGGGAGTCCTTCTATTTGTGTGTACTTCTTTGTGTGTCCTTGGGCCCCTTGATCTGTCCTACTTCCGGAGGAGGCCCTGCGCACCGCAGGGCGGGCCCCTTTCGAGAGGCGGCCTCGGGGCCCCGCCCGTGGACGCCCCCAGCCTCGGCCGGGCCTCGGCGCGCTCGCGCCGAAGGCCCCCCCTGGGGGCCGTGCCCGCGCCCCCCCTGTGCGCCTCGCGGCACGGCCCCCGCCCAGCGGACGACAAGCCCTGTGGCGGGGGCGGCCCGGAGGGGCCGCCAGGGGCGCCTCAGGAGCCGTCCTGGGGTCGTCGTGGGCGGCATTGGGGCCTTCATGGGGGCATCTCAGGGCGATCTTGGGGTCTCTGTGGCCGTCGTGGACGCGTCGGGAACGAAAAGCACGATAACGCCCCAAACGCGCGTGTTCCGGAGGGAGTGGGAGGATTTTGGCCTCTTGGGGGGAGGCTCGAGGGAGGAGCAGCCACCCGGCCCCGAGGATTGGCTTGGCATCGCTCGGACGTGTGCACTTCTTCTCGGCGGGAACCATCGAGGGCCATCCTGGACCATCGAGCAACAAAAAACACGCACGACACCGACAGATGCACGGGACATGGACGTCCGAGCGACGGCAAGTTGGCGTCTGCCACTTGGCCCTGGGCGTTTGCTCGACCGCCCTGCCCTGTTCGGTTCCTCCCCCAGGTGCGTTTGCCAAACGGCTCCGCTTGTCGGGGTGATTATTCTGGGGGTGGATGTTCTGCTTCCCAGAGATGACTGGGGGGGGCATCCTGGCGGGGCCGGGCCGTGATACCCCCCCAGATCTCACGGTCCCACCTGCTTCTTTTACAGCACAAGAAGCCTTCACGAGAAGCCCAACCCTGAGACCCCAGGACGTCGTCCACGGATCTCTGGTGTGGAATCGTCACGCTCTCCATCGCAGAACCATCGGAACCCAAGGAACCCAGGGCACCCTGAAGGCAAGCAGGGTGTTGCTTGGCATGGGTTTCCACTACTGCGTTCCGTGGCCAAACCCACGACCGCGCGCATGCCTCGGGTCATGATTTGCGAACCCCCCACTTGGACTCCCCACTCTTTGGCGCCCCCGACCTGTGCGCGAGCCCTCCTCGTCCTCCTCCTCCTCCTCCTCCTCCTCCTCCTCCTCCTCCTCACCCTCCCTCTCCTTTTCCCCCTGCCCCTCCCCCTCCCTCTCCTTTCCCCTTCCTCCTCCTTTTACCCCTCCTCCTGCTGCTCCTCCTCCTCCAGGGACTCCCCTCTGTCTTGGCAGTGGGCGCAGCAGGCGCCCGCGCGCCGCCGCCGTCCGCGCTGGCGCCCAGGCGCGCTCGCTGGACACACCCCGAGCGCCGCCTGGGTGCGGCCCGGTGCGGCCTGCGCCCTGCGCCACCCGCGGGCCCCGGCAGATCCGTTCGCCTGCTGTGTGTGGTGAAAAAGAGCACGGCCTCTCAGTTGGGGCTTGCTTGAGCAAGCGTCGAGAACAACTGATAATAATAATGGTAATGCTAATAATGATCATGCTCGTAATCGTAGTCAGAAGAATAACAATAACGACTAATGACAATAGTCATACGAATAATAATAAGGCGACGTAGCACAAAGACGGTTCATACTACTCATACGACTAATAATGCCATTCGTACTAATAGTGCGAATAGCACTACTAAACGTACTACCAATACTCGAAACACTACTATGCGAAGAAGAATGACCATAATCATGCGAATCAGAACAATAAGATGGCGAAGTGGCATAAACATACTTCTTTGAGAGGTCCGCGCGGATTTCCCGGATCGGCGCTGGAGATCCCTCCACGTCGCGCGGAGCCCCCCATGGGGCGGCGTCGGAGGCTCCGCCTCGGAAGAGTCCGGGTCCGATTCGAGACATCCGCGTGGACCTCCACACGTTCACGTACAGCTTGCGCTTCTCCACGATGGGCTCGAAGGACTTTCGCCCCATCGCCGATGCACCGGCGATGCGGCGCGATCCAGAGTCCGATGTTCTCCACGTCCCGACGCCGACGGCGCCGGGTGTGTCGGCGATGCGGTCCGATCTTTGAACCCCATCCAATCTGGCCGCACTCTGGCCTGGCATGGCTCGGACGTGGGCATGTGCTCTCGGCAAGGGCCATCGAGTGGCATCTGAGGTCACCCTGCGAAAAATGCACGCAGGAAACCGGAACATGCACTGGGAATGAACGTCCGAATGATTGCGAGCTGGAGGCCTGCGAGGACCGATCGAGGCGTGGTGGGTGGTTGGCCCCCCCCCCCTCCCGAAGGCGGAAGCGTATCCATACAGTCAAAAACCCTAATAAGGACGCGCGACTTTGCTCAGTGTACCCTTGCCTTGCGTCCTTGCTCTTCCTTGCTCTTGCGTCCTTGAGGTTTTCGTCGTCCGACGCCCCAAAAATCCCAACTTCGGCTTCCAAGGGTCTTGCGTCCTTACCGCGCGTCCTTATTAGGGTTTTTGACTGTATTGGTCCACCGTTCCCCAGGGATTCCGGGGCAGGATTCTAGCAGCCGTGGGTGCAGGTGTTTCCTGGCGGTGCACCCAACCACAGCATTTTGCTTCTTCCGGTGCTTCGCCGCCGGGTTCCTGTCCAACGCGTCCCTTTGCAAGCACATCGTCTTCGGCACCGCCTGATTCCGGGGCTGTGCCCCCCCCTGGCCTTGACGTGAGGCCCCTCTTTCTGCCCCCCTCTCTGTTAATTCAAACTGTGCGCGGCCCGCTTACAGTCGGGGCCCTGAAGAAGGAACCCGTTTGGTTGGGGAGGGGCTCCGCGTTCCTTGAGTGTTTCACAGCTTGCCTCAGGCTTTCCTCATGTTTCCGACCGGAAATCGAAGTTTAACTTATGGGAAAAAACGGGGCCTCGTTCCTTATTTAAGGTTCCTTAGGCCAACGCCCCGACTGCAGCTTCGACCGGAGGAGGTGCGCCCTCGACCCGCGAGTCGAAAAGTGCTTCCTGGCGGTGCACGGGCCCCGGCGGCTCGAGCAGAGTCGTGCCGCGAGGCACTTCGCCATCCCCCATGGGCGGCGCCCGCGGCCCCCCCTGTTGGGCCCCTCGCGGGCCCTTTCTGGGCCCTGCGTGGAGCAGGTGGGAGTTGGAGAGCGATTGCGTCGAGCATCTTCGCCTGTGTCCGAGGCTGTGCCTCCTCTCGGCCCCGCTCTGAGGCTCCGCCGCTTCCTCCCCCCTCTTTTCTGCCTAATGAATTCAAGCTTCGCGCGGCCCGCTCGGCTTCGACCGGAAGAGGTGCGCTCTCGACGCGCGGATCAAAAAAGATGGTGTCAAGCATCTGCAGGATCACACGAGTGCTCTGTTGGTTTTCGTTCCTCGGGGGCCTTGGGCAGGGCCACCTGGGAGTCTCGGGGCAGTATCGTGGTTTCTCTGGCCGTCTCGGAGGCCTGTTCGTGTTGGGAAGCCATCTCGAGCGTGCCGGAAGCCTCGGAGGTTGCACTCGGAGACTCCGAGGGCCTTGAGACTGCGTTGGGGAACTCGGACTCCCATCCCGGGTATTCCCAACGAGGTCCTGGACCCCTGGGCGGGGGATGGAGCACGGAGAGGCGGACAGCCAATTTTCTCACACGCTTTTCCACCCGTGGCATGCAGAGACCAGCGGACTCCCAGCGTTGCAGATGACGGTGGTGATCGTGGTGGTGGTTGAGGTTGCGAAGGGTGGAAGCCCTTCCACGACTCGAATCTAGGCAGGCGATTTTTGGTAGACTGTCACCCGTTATCCGAGGTGTTGGATTTTGCCAGGGTCGCGGCCGTGTGCCAGGACAGCGCACGCTCGGTATTGTTGTGCTTCGTGTCTTTCACCCTCTTCTTCGTTTTTTTACCGTATGGCTTGTTCACCGTGTCCAACGCTCTCGTTGCCGTCGTCGAAATTCTAAACGCTTCGCGTAACCCCACCAGCCCATCCAGAAACGATGCCCAGACGAGTTGCCCTGATCAGGGATGTGGAGGAGCATGCAGTGGAATCGTAAACAAGGGAAGCCGTTATACCCCAGGAGGGGGATGATGGAGAAGTATGGAGGAGGGATGAGGAGGATGAGGAGGAAGAGGAAGAGGAGGAGGAGGTGGAGGAGGAAAAGGCGGAGAAGGAGGAGGAGGAGGAAGAAGAGCAAGAGGAGGAGGAGGAGGAGGAGGAGG